CACGTGAAGTCCTATTTTTTGAAAAATTTTATTACATTTTTGAACGAATTACAAAATTGTTATTTTGAAATTTGGCCGCATGGCGCAGCAATAGGAGGTCTTTAGACTGAGCCAACCATATTAATTTAACTAAAGATCAACAGAATATGTTTCTTTTGGGAATTATTTCAACATCAACCAGAAATTCAACATCAACTAGTGAATATTTGACAATGGCTTATGCATTTGATGGTGTAGCAATATGCAGTAATGCTTTTTTAAAATTATATAATTTATCAAAAAATAGATTAAATGGTTTAAAAAATCATTATAAAGATAATGATATTGTACCAAAAGTGCATTTAAGCAAAGGAAAAAAGGTTTCTCATAATAAATTCTCTTTTGAGACAATATTAAAAGTGCTTACTTTTTTAAAAATTTATGCAAATTTGAATGGTTACCATCACCAGGTAAAATTAAAATGTGTATTATTTATTTAATATTGATTAGTAACTTATTTTTTTATTCTAGGTCGCCATTTTAAAAGAGATACAAAGGCAATTATTTATTTACCTACAAAAGACAGCTACACAGGAATGCATGAGGGATTTTTATGTTGTATTGGAACTGAGACAGAAGATCATATTGGCTATTCAACCTTTGTAAAAATTTGGAAGAGTTATCTTCCTGAAATTCAATTCCTATCACCACGAACTGATCTTTGCACCTTATGTAAAGAAATGAGGTTTAATGTAAATTTTTGGTCTTTAGCTGAAAAAGAAAAAAGAGTTAATAATTGGAACGAACATATTAAGTGGGCAAATAAAGAAAGAGATAATTATAGGTATTGATTCAAACTTATAAAATATTTGTTTATTATATCATCAATTTTTATTGTTATAAAAAAATTAGGAGTTGCATACAAATTGCCAAAGAAAGTTTGAAAAATAATGAATTGACATCCATAGAAGAGGAAATTTCTCCATGTTCATCAAATATTGAGGTTCATATTTCATGGGATTTTGCAGAACAAATACACCTTCCATGTTCAACTCAGCAAGTGGCAACTTGATTTTTCCATTTTTAAAAAATTATTTAATTTAACTAACTTTCCATAAAATCAATTAGGGGACTTCATTTTTTAAATCATTGCATAATGTGCAATTATTTGGTATATGTAATGATGCTATACCAAGACAAGTAAATATTTTTATTAAATTAATATTTTTTTAATATATAGTTAACATGCTAATATTTTTGTTAAAATTTAGATAAATTATTTAATTCCAGAAAAATATTCAGTGGGGAAAGGTTCTGATGCTGTAATTTCCATGTACATAATTACTTTCAAAAATATGGGTTAGGCGAAAAAAATATTATCATTCTTGCTGATAACTGTTCTGGCCAAAATAAAAATAATACTATGATATGGTATTTAGCCTGGAGAGTGATGAATGGATTACATAAAAGGATAACTTATTCTTTCATGGTACCTGGACATACCAAATTTTCACCAGATGGTTTTTTTGGTTTAATCAAATTAAAATTGAGAAGATCAGAAGTTGATGATGTTGATGATTTAGTTGAAGTTGTCAATAATTCAACTACAGCTATGCATAATTTGGCACAACCTGTTTATGAAAATGATAAAAGAAAAGTAGATTTTTACCAATGGAATGCTTTTTTATCTAAGTATTTTAAAACTCTCCCTGGAATTTCTAAATATTATCATTTTATATTTGAAAGTGAACATCCAGGTTGTATAAAATATAAAAGACATCATGATGATGATTTTGGAACTTATTATTGTCTTTTAAAAAACCACAATTTAGATATTAATTCAATTAATTTAAATGATGAATTGAAGACTAAAGAATCAACAGGACTAAATGCTTCTAGACAATGGTATTTGTATGATCAGATACGAGATTTAGTGCAAAATCCTGATAAAAGAAATAATATTTGTCCAGAACCTTCTGTACCTAGGCCTTAATTTTATTGTTTATTAATTTTATTAATTTATTAATTGTATTATTATTATTTTTTTTAAAATTTTTGGGGTCAAGATCATCGCATATTTTTCTATTTTAAAATTCTCGGGTCATAATTTCCTTTTATGGATAATTGATAACAAAAAACTTTAAACCCCTTTTTCTCAAAATGACAAAAAAAAAATTTGACTCATTTTTGCTTGAGACTCCCCATATATGTTTTCTTGGTAATTAACAATTAACAATGTCATTTTGAGCCCAATCAAGAGAAAATTTGAGAAGTATAAAGCTTTCAACAATAATAACTTAACTTTTTTGCATTGGCTGTTCAAAAACTCTTGTGTATGACATTTTTAATTTTTGAAGGGGTGACAGTTTTGGAATTGGAAGATTGGCAAATATTTATATGTGCAAATAAATATATATAGTTCTATATTTTTGTTGATTTTCATTTATTTATTGTAGGATTCCACAGTGGATACAATATATGCAAACTAACAATTCTTTAGAAAAATTTAAAAGAGCAAATGGTGGATACATGCTTCATGATATATCAAAACCACACAAAATTCTTACTATTCATGCTGAATTACAAATAAATGAGGATCATTCTAAAAATCTGTATTATCATAATGTTACAAAAAGAGATATATCAACTGCACCATTGGTTCCTTTACTTCCTGGACATTGTGTTATTGGAAAGTTTGGCAAGTTATATATTTATCTAGAAATTCAAAGTAATAATGAATGCCTTACATATCATTGGAAAATTTATAATAATGTGGAGATGTCACAAATTATACATGAAGGAACAAACCTTGATTTTTTTGTTAGCATGAAGAAATACATAAATTGGTCAGGGAATATTTCTATTCCAGACATTCTTGGATTTGGTAACCCTGATATTATACATGATCTACAAGCCAAAGTCAATTCAATTTACCCAAATATTTTTGAAACTTCTGTTGCATTGACAAAATCTCAAAACAAAATGGTAAAGCTAACTGCAAAGGCAAGAAATTCATCATTAATTTCACAAGATCCAATAATTTGTCAAGCAATAGAAATTAAAGAAACAGGTGTAAACTTATCTTCAGAAGCAACTTTAGCTCTTACAATTGATTATGAATCTTCAAAAAAATCAAGTGATGCATTACGTAAAAGATTCAAACATGCTAAATCTGACCTTGAATATGCAAAGAATTTAAAGTATAATCAGTATGAAAAAAAAAAATAAAAAACTTCCCTTAAACTGTTTCTGCAGCATATATGCTGCAGATTTGTTGTAAGACACAAAGATTTTTGTCATGCAGTTTTTACACATAATTTCCTAATTAAAAAATGATTTTTGAGATTGTATCATTAACCCATTAAAGAAAAAACAAAGTGTTACATATTGTTCTTGGTGATAAATGATCGTGCAAAGTAAAGGTACAAAAAAAATTTACTTTGCCAATCATTTTGTATTAATTTTTTTTTTAACACTGCAATAAAATTTTTTATTTATTTTGCTAAATCTGACCTTGAATATGCAAAGAATTTAAAGTATAATCAGTATGAAAAAAAAAAATAAAAAACTTCCCTTAAACTGTTTCTGCAGCATATATGCTGCAGATTTGTTGTAAGACACAAAGATTTTTGTCATGCAGTTTTTACACATAATTTCCTAATTAAAAAATGATTTTTGAGATTGTATCATTAACCCATTAAAGAAAAAACAAAGTGTTACATATTGTTCTTGGTGATAAATGATCATGCAAAGTAAAGGTACAAAAAAATTTACTTTGCCGATCATTTTGTATTAATTTTTTTTTTAACACTGCAATAAAATTTTTTATTTATTTAAACTTAATTAAAAATGGACTCTTCTAATATTAATATTTATGAATATGAAGGTTTTATAGATGCAGAGGATGAGGATGAATTCAATTTTTTTTTGAAATGGAATGAACATGAAGAATTTGAGGATTCTGAAGTAACTAATGTTAATGAGAATATTGACACCTTTGCTTCAATTGATATTATTGAAATTAGTGATGATATAAGAGAAGAAAGTAGTACTGAAGAATCTACAAATCAATTTAAATGAGGATTAATTAATTTTATTTATCAAAAATAAAAATTTTTTACATTCCGAAAAATTTAATACATACGAGGTATATTGTTAAGTGAAGATTTTACTAATTATATCTTTACATTAGCTTTAATAAATTTAAACTTCAAGTTCCAAGGAATACAAATGGTATAAGATTTAATAGTGTCATTTTTTTCTATAACAATTTTCACAAGGAGCAAAGTTTTCTTTTTATTTTTCATGAAATTTTCTAAAAAAATACTTATTATTAGAATATAAATTTTTACCAATAAAAATAATTAACAAAAGTTGTATTGAATAATTAATGTTATGAACTTAAATAATATGTAAATAACTACGAAAAATTCAAAAAATTTTATTGTTTGTAATAATAAGTGATTTTCCAGTATCGAATTTATCACATTTTCATAAAATTTGTGCTACAGTTTAAGGGATATTTTGTGAAACTACTGCGCCACATATTGCGCAGTATCACACGTACAATTATTCATATTCATATTTCTATATTTATATTTCAAGAACTTATTCAGCTGATGTAAATATTTACTTTAAATTATTAATTATTATTTGTAATGATCAGTTGACCCAAATATTTATTTTAT